CTTTTTTCTTTGCTCTCCCTCCTTCTTTCCTTCCTTTCTTCTTCCCTTCTTTCTCCCTGACTTTGTTTGGTATCTGGGCAACCAGACCTGACAGACCTACTGACTTACAAGAATTCAACCAAGAGCAAAGGTCCTACGGACCGCTCTGACGGACAATGACGAATAGACCGATTCAATCGCTAAAAAATTGTCAATCATGTTGACGTTTCACCTTCCTTGTTCTTCATTGTACTCTCCAAGATTTGCAGGAAGTCGAGAATAAGGAAGAGATCGTTGAGAGATCTATCGCTTGTTCCTGTAACCAGGGTACCTCCACGTGAAAACAAATTGAGTTTTCAAGAAAAGCAAAGATTTTTTGAAGAGAGAACGTGATAAGAAAAATGTAATCACTCACCCAATTCATTCATAAAAGTGGAATATTTACATACAATGTTAAGAGTTGTACTATTATTTGTTAACAAGTGACGATTGAAGAAAAAAGAAAGTGATACCATTATTTTTCAGTCATCTCTATACACACCATAAAACAAATCAGACGAAAAGTATATAATACTCCTCTAGCTAGACGGGCTGTTGAAAAAAAGGGTCACACCCACCGATCACACCGCTAAGTGCCCTGAAGCAAACATTGTTCATATTGCTCCACGTCTAAAACACAAATGTGTACCTCCCAACTGACATTATTATCTCCATACAACGATAATATACTCACCTCGGGTGTAATAAGAAAGTCTGCTCGAAAAAATACATACGATGTTTGGCTAGCACATCAGTCAAGTTTATCTACCGGGACCCATTACAGAAATGTTTACTACCTCAAAAGGTTGTATATTTATTTTTAAATAGGTAGTTGTTGATATTCGCTTCAGGCTTTATATTTCATTCTGTTCTATTACGCAAGCATTCTTTATGGCCGATTATTTAATGGATCTGTTTGTTTTAACACATCAGGAATGTTTGCTATGCATATCAATCAAGCATGTGTAAATAACGCAATTTAGGCGTCTTAAAATAATTGCTAAAATGAATAGAACCATGAAGTCTAGCCTGCGATGTTGATAAATAATATCATTGCGCATATGACGGATTATAAGGTCATGTGACCTCAGGAGTGCTTTGTTACTTATGGGAAATAGTAACTTACAGTTTAATTAGGTATTTGGATGATTTAATTCGACCAACGAATATGGACATTCCAGAAAAACTATAAAAGATATGCGAAATCCAGCACGATTGATATTTGCGCCCGAATCGTTAAATTACTACATACTTCGAAGAAGGCCATTTAGCCCTGGCCTCCCTGTGTTTTCTCAGATTTTTATTTCCTTTAGGAAGACAAAAAATGGCGTCAAGTAACTCTATACTTCCCACGCCTTCGAAACAACTTATAGTAGTTCCATGTAGTGCAATGTCATCAAAAAGACAAGGGTTTCGTCAGAACCATCAGTGCACTATTTGGACTCCTCGGATTGCAGCAATGAGCGTGACGTACACATTACCTCGTTATTGATATTTGGATTTCTCTGTAGATAATATAGCGCCCTCGTCGGGTACCTCGTATGTGCATATCGCGGCACCGCAACCCCATGGCGCATGGAAGGTGCGACCAATAGGAATGCTGAACATTTTTATCCAAGATTTAAGGCCAAATGTATGATGTGTGAAATACGTTTTGCGATACACCCTTTCCCGCCCCTCTACAACCCCCCTCCACCAATATTGTACCGCTAACATTTTTTCAAGTTATACAGGGGTCACGGATTAGCGTACAAACAGACCGACAGTAATGAGTAACATGGTTTTTCGTGATGTAAAAAACATAACATATAATTTTCGTGATTACAATAGTAAAGTAAAAATGACTAATAAAAAAATGTTTTAATATGGGAGGAAAGCTTGTTTTCAAGGTAATTCGGATGCGGTGATTCCGAATTTGATGTCAATTTAGTGCAAGTTTTTCATCCATAATTCCGCACTGTGACCTTTTAAGGCCGTTTTATGATAACCTAAAGTTGCAAATGTTGCAATTTTTCACTAAATCATGCATTGTACATGATAAATTGTATCAGATACCTGTGAAGCGGTAGAGGGGTATTATGTTACAAAAAGTGCCAAAAATGGGTCTATCGGGAACGTCAGCCCAACCAAGCCTATTTTTTTTGTTTTTATATCGAAGCAGCCGCGCAGGCGGAAGCCTAAATGCCGCAACACCGCAGCTGCTATGATGATCCCAAAGAAATTTTGTTAATACGATTTTTGAACTGCCTAAGGTTAGTAGAACTGGGAAAAGCTTCCTCTTGTAGATAGTTTCACAATCTCGACACCCTCGGGACAAAGGAGCCGTCGTATCGGTCAGTTCTGGATGTACGAAGTTCGACACGGTTAGGATGGGACGCCAAAGTCAGGCGGGTCTGTCTGGCAGGCACATCGCGCGCGGGCATTATGGAAGAGAGCTCTGAGGAGCAAAGCCCGTTGCTGTAGCGATAGAAAAGAGCTAGATCGCCGACGGCGCGCCGGTGCGAAAGAGTCCCGAGACTGTCTGTTAGAGAAGAGTCATCGATCATTCGACCGCCCTCCTCTGGACAGCATCGAGCATGGATAATGTACTCGAGGCTAGGCCTTATCTGGGCCTTGTATAGAGTGAGAAGGTCATGCGGAGAAAAGTACTAAATAGCCTAGCTTTTTCCCAGCAGCTGCAGCTATTGACTAGATGTGTTCGTGCCAGATCAGGTCCTCGGTGATCTGGACTCCGACCAGCCGAAATAAATGGCTTTTTGGCAGAACTCGGCCGTCCATCGAAACTGGATGAGCGCTAGGACGCTTTTTGTTCGTCAAAGTACAGTACTGTGTTTTGGAAGCATTGAACTGTACAAGATTGTTGCGTCCCCAAGCAGTGATAGCCTCCAGGCCTCTTGTCAGAGAGGAAGTCGTCGCTAGTCTTCTTTTTTCCAGCTCAGCGGCAGAGATCGGCTTGTCACTCTGAATTCCTGTATGTAGAGTGCTGTCATCAGCGAAGCTGTGGATTGGGTTGATCGTGCAGGAAAGGAGGTCGTTAATATGTAAGCGGAACAGTGTCGAAGCCATGACCGATCGCTAGGGAACACCCGCGTTGACGTTATCGGATTAAGAAGAGAACCCGTCAATTACGACGGATATCTTGCGGCCAGAGATAAAGTCAGCCACCCATCTGCAAAACTTTTCTGGGAGGCCATAGGATGGAAGTTTGCTTAAGAGGGCAGCGTGCCACAGCTGATCGAACGCTTTCGTGATATCAAGAGCAATGATATGAACCTCACCATAAGACTGGATGAGTTTACTCCACAATTAAAACCATACTGCCTGTCGCTAATCAAGCTGTGACGTTCGAGGTAGTCCAGAAGCTCGCGATTTATGCACCTCTCCATCACCTTAATTATAACAGAAAGCAGAGCTATAGGCCTGTAGTTTTTTGGGATGGGTTGGACATGAGCAAATATCCAGTTTTCTGAGAAGGTGCCGGATTCATAAGATATCTGGAAGAGACGCGAAAGAACTGGAGCAAGCTCCACTGCACATCTCTTCAGTACAATGGCAGGAATCAAGTCCGGACCAGAAGCTTTGTTGATGTCGAGCGACAAGAGCACTCGTCTGACGGTCTTATGCCTGAATGTTACCTCCCGCATAGTGTGGGAAACCCTTTGACGGCACTTGGGCGTTGGTGGGGACGTCCATGGTGGAGTTGGCAGCAAAGATCTTGGCTAGCACTTCCACCTTGGCCTTTGAGTCGAATACAATAGTTCCATCCGGACACGTAAGTGATGGAAGGCTACTGAGTGAGTAGTTTTTTTCAATCTGCTTGGCCAGCCTCCAGAAAGACCGACTGCCATTGCGCTGCGACATTACCCTGTGCCTAACTTTTATATCGTGTTGGTTTTTGGCATTGCGAACCGCTTCGTTATATTTGTTTCTGGACTTCGGCTTGTCTGTTCTCTACAACGGTGCTTTGTAAGAAGGTTCTGTGTGCCTTGATCTTCTGCTGGCGAGCAGTGTCACGCGATTTGATAAACCAGCCGTTGGATCCTGGTTTAGGTACTTTCACTGTGTGCGGGATGTATTCCTACGTGGATAATTTCGGTTCTCAAAGAACAGACAGCCGACGCATCCGCGTCAGTGAAACAGACATCTCTCCAAGGAAATCTAAAGAAGAAGTCTCTGACTCCTCCCTGTCGGCATGTCCTTAATGTCAAGTTTTGCAGCCTGTACGAGTTTCTGCTGCCACAGCGGGTTTTGACCGAAACCTAACCTCCACAACACCGTGGTCTGAGTTACCCATGGAGGACAAGACAGCAGTGCTGTAAGCGACATGATGCGTGGTCAGAAAGAGATCCAGCAGGCTACTGGCGTGTGATGAGACGCGGAATAAAAAAGTAGGGCTCGTCACCAGCTGGATCAGTCCTTGAGTAAGAGCGAACGCTTCGATTGCACGACCTGCTGCACTGGTCTTGTTTGAGCTCAACCAAAGCTCATTATGGGCATTGAAATCACCGAGCAGAACTACCTCTGAAGCGGGGTGATTGATATTGAGACAGTCGATCTGGACGCCGAGGTATTCGAGTAGGTCATCCCAGTTATGGTCCGAGGGAGAGCGATAAAGGCAGCAAATAAATGTGGGTGATGTTTTGGAGTTGAGGCGAAGCCACAGAATGTCCTTCCGGTCTGATTCCAAAGAAACATCTCTGGAGCAGGAAAGACTGCTGCGGACGAAAGCCACAACTCCCCTGTTCTTTCTCAGATTGGAGTGCATCTCGTAGTTTGGGATTATCATTAATTTCTTTGTTTTGGAAGATAACCGATTGCATAGCTTAGGTGTGGAAACATGCGGACATTTATAAGACACCCTGGGAAAAGCTAGCGGATGGTACCGCCTCAGTCGACTGGTCCTTGTCTACCACCTTCTGATCTATAATACGGTGGGGTCGCTAAAGCCGAATCTGGGACCCATTTGGTGGGAAAATTCCCCTTTTTCGAGATACTGGCAAGAATTCTACTTCAAACAAATTGTCTTGTAGAAGAAACATAAGCTGATTCTGTTCCAATCTGACCGTATTTATTTTTTTCAGAAATTTCTATGGATTGGTCCGACCATGCCCTTTGGTGGCCAGAGAAGAACATGTGGTTGACTAGGACACGGTCAACTTTGGACCAATGCGGTGTTCATGCTGATGCACTATTGCACTTCACGCCGATGCACAAAATACTCAGGGTACAGCTCCCAGATCTCAGGTAAGTCATTATCTAGCTAAACTATGGTTACCTACAAGTTCGAAAAATATATTTTTTGATGTCACAATCGGTGTTATCAACTGCAGCATGTAGCTCTCCTGTTCGCCAAGTGTCAAGTCTATAGTCGGGAAAACTAAATCAATCGCCGGTTTATGTAGGATATTTTCTGTATTTTTTTGGTAAGAAAAATAAAATTTGAAGTCATAAAAAATGTAATGTGCTACACCGGAACTAAACAATTCAAATGAAATTTCGGTCATTTTTATTTTCGATTTTTTTTTTGTCCAAAATAGTGTATTTGGCATACACTGGAAGTTTTAAAATGGGATGTGCATTAATTTAAGAGATGGGTATTTTTATGTTCATACACGTCGCACTGGCTATAACGTTAGGCGCTTCTTTAGCTCTACTAGTTTCCAATAATAAGCTACGATATGAGTATTTTTTAGCTCCAGGGATGATTTTAAATTTATTTTGTCAGAAAATCATAGTTTATTTTTATTCGATTTCCTTAAATATTGAAATTCAAAAAAGATACTGTGAAAAACCGTTTCAAACCATAATTTGGACAACTTCTATCATTTTTATTATCTTTTTTACTCCAAAATATAGCCTAAAAGTGTGTTTAAAATAAACTAAGAGTGTTTTAAAATGCCCATTAATTCATGAATAGGTATTTTTAACTTATATTAACTTGAAACTTTGCACACGTATCAAGGACAGATGACAATGCAATAATTTGAGAACAGTTTTCCATTATCCTCATTCATAAAATTTTGTAAAAAGCAGATATGTTAATAAAAAGCCGCGAATGTCAAATGCCGCGTTACGAATAGCTAAGCTATAAGCCTATGTAGCTCAGTGGCAGGGGTCGTGAGTTCAATCCTCAACAATTTTGGAATACATTTTGCTGCAACGTGTTTTATACTCAAAATATTCGAAAAAATTTCGTTTCGTGAGCCAATCAGCGACTTTTTCCACGTTTTCATCGGATATTGATGAGCTGGCGCGTTCGGAGCGTTTGATATCTTCAACGCCTTCACGGCCGTCTTATATAATATACCACTCGTAGACTGTTACTTTACTTATGGCAGACTCGTTTTAGTCCTTTTTTAATAGTTCGCACACTTTGTTACACAAATCATTTGATCCAATTCTTTTAACAAACCATAAAAACACGTATAACCTTAGCGGCTGCCACAGATAACGTAAACAATGAATACAGCTTAAAATTTTATCATGCTTCAGGGACATGTATACCAACATAATAAAAAAATGGATAATCGAACGTTATTTTCTGAACACATCTCGTAAATAAAATGGATACTCACTTTTTGGCTCCAGAAGGTCCAGTTGTCTCCACGGAGAGAAATTCACCTAGAGTGACCCCAGCGCAGGAATCCCCCTCGTGTTAGCCCATTTAGTTTTTATAAACCGATAGAAACCCGCACATCGGTGGCGAGTAATACACTTTTGCATAAACAGGGCGTGGCAAAAGTACTGAAACGGCTCGATAACTCTTTGGGAATACATTTTAGGGGGAAATGCTTCAAATGAAAGTTGTAGGATTTTCCCTCAACTATCGTCGGTGGCCTTGGGTTATTGACCTTGGAGGTTATTTGAAAGTCAACTTTAAAATCTTAAACGTAAACCCCTACTTTAGATTCCGGTAATGAAGCGAGTGGAAAATTTTACGTTCAAACATGACCTAGAATTACCCCAATATTTGACCATGAGTAGTCCCTCAAAATATTAAATGTAAACTCCTATTTTTGACCCGGGAATGAAACGAGCAAACAGTTTTACGTTCAGATATGACCTAGAATGATCTTCATATTTGACCTTGAATGACCCCCGGGTAACTAAGGCAAGGTTAAATGCCCGGCCATATAGGGGTAGTATGACCTTGACCAAAACTGCCACTATATGGTGATATGGTCAAATACGAGGGCCATTCAAGGTCATATCTGAACGTAAAATGTTTCACTCGTTTCCTGCTTGTGTCAAAAATGGGGTATACATTAAAAAAAATTAAGTTGACCTTCTTATGACCGTCAAGGCAAGGTCAAGATCGAATCCAAGGTCACCTTCTGATAGCTGAGGGAAAATTGAATTGAATATTTGAAGCACTTCCCTCTAAAATGCATTCCGAAAGACTTATCCAGTATTACTGGTAGTTTGGTCTTGAGTTACCACTGAAGGTAAAGTATGAGGGTCATTCAAGGTCATGTTTGAACGTAAAATTTTCCACTCGCTTCATTACCGGAATGTAGGGATTTACGGTTAAGATTTTAAAGTTGACTTTCAAATAACCACCAAGGTCTCCGCTCGTTACATTACTGGAATCAAAAGTAGCGGCTTGCATTTAAAATTTAAAAGTTGACCTTCAAGGTCAAATCCAAGGTCACCGACCCATAGTTGAGGTAAAATCCTACAACTTTTATTTATTTCCACACCCTGTATGCATTATTTGCCGACGGTGTGCACTTTTATCGGAGGATATGGCTTAGGGTATCTATCAACCTATATGCGAAGGTGGCGCGTTTATGGTGGTACTCGTGGCAACATTATGATTAGATTACTTGAATCACATTGCAGAAAAAAATGCCTAACTTGTACGATATTTCGAACTCTTGTCTTTCTCATTGAAGGATTTTGCGCCCTTAGGAAACTAACGGCCGAGGCGACTGCCCCGGTTTGCCCTCCTTAGATCCGGGGCTGAGTATGCGGTAAACCATCACACACACACCATCATAATATTGTGACACCCTCGTATAACTGGAGCTCTGGGCATCAGCGAGAAACTCTCGTACATCGACCAGAAGATTCGACAGGTGTCCAGAAACGACGACGTTTAGGCAGCCAGGGTTACGCGGGTGTGCGTGGGGATTGCGGCCTCATTGAGGATTCAACACGTTCGAGGGCGTTCCGCCGACTTCGGGAGAGTTCGAGAAGTATCGATTGGCATCGTCTAGAACTTCGACAAAGGCGTTCGAAAGTTTCTCGATTGCTCCATTTCCAAATACAAAGGCGCGACTGTGGAAGAAATTAGTTGCAAGTGTCATAAATTAGTGTAAGAGTAGTAAATTAGATGTTGGACAGTAAAAACTGTGTATTCGTTACAATGTCTTCAGAAGCTTTCAAAATCATTTTCGTTTCAGGTACCTAGACATGCGTGTAGACTTCTCCATCAAAACCTTCTCAGCAGTAGCACAAGTATGCAAAGAGCTGGGCATCCGACACCCGGAGGAACTGTCGTTCAGCAAGCCTTTGGAGCCACATCACCTGAAATACAACTACCTGGATACGCCGAAGAAAAGGCTGTGTGAACCGTCTGCCCCTCAACCTCACCCTGCGAGGAATGGCCATGTTCCTGCCGACACGAACACTTTCATCGCCAGCGGAAGTCCCGCGGGAAGCACGGGAAGTCTGGATAAATCGCCTTTCGTGTGCGTCACTCCTGGCCGGTGTGCCCCGATTGCGTCTACGCCTGTCAATAGCCCTTCGGGAAATGTAAGTATTCAGTTAGGCTTTGAAATATTAAAACTATCGTCTACTTTTTCTTCACCTTTTACGCCTCTTTATCGCATTTTGTTTCGGAAACATTCTGCAGTTCCAGTCCTATTCATGCAGATCCCTTTCTGCCATATGTAGGTTTATCCAATAAGTGCTGACCTTCCTCTTTGGCGCTCCGGATACCATGATGTGATTCTTTTTGGCCACTGGTACTCTGGCATTGTTTAACATGTCCATGCGACTGGAGTGCTCAACGACCTATACCTTGTGTTTCAAATTCGAGCCTCACCATTGGGATCTTGGAAACGGTAAGAGATACGAAGTCGCTTAAATGGGGGCAAAGTTATGTATTTAGGAAACTAACAAAATCCAGTAGAAAGAAATTCAAAGTACTTCCAAAAATTTTTCTATAATCGTTTTAATTTTTTTTCGTGATCTTACTTGTAGTGGGATTTCAAAATAAATCGCACAATAACCTTGCCACTTTTCCTCTTCTACAATATGACATAATGTCAATATGACGTTTCGTGTCTTGCCCTCTAGCATCAAATTTATTTTTTCTTATGGATTTTTGCATAGGTGAATAGAGTTTTTCTGATTCCAAAAATGTATATGTGATACATTGACATTGTCAAACCGTAGTTATTTGAAAAAACGAATTTCTTAGGTAGGCCTTGAAATTGTCAGTCATTTGTTTCATATCAGATTTGTCGAAAAATCATTTTTATTTTTTCCTGACGTTATTTGAGATGGGATTTCAAAATAAATTGCATATTTTATTTGCAATTTTCAATTCAAGGTTTCTTCTTCCGACTTCCATCACCAACATTGTTTTTTATATACATATATACAATGTGTTTGGTCACGACATACCGATATTTAAGGGGGATATTTTACAGCTATTTTTATCGACGAATCAACCCCCTACAATGTCCTACCTCACCCCCCTAGAAATGGATCCATACCGCTGCGAACGAAATTAGGGCTGATACGGATATGGTCTGCCGCTCAACATGACACATTGTTTTATGAACAGCAATGTGTATAACCAATAATGGAGGACATTTTGAACAGTTTCTGTAACATTAAACATGTCCAAACTCTCTATAAGAAACATTGATTTGTCATTTTTATGAATATAAAGTTTGAAAACAATTTGCATTTTATTACACCCACTTTGACCCATGTTAGATGGCATCTATTGTTCAACGTAGAATACTTAGGATAACAAAAGGCTGTAGAATTAGCAGAAAAAAAAAGTACAACTTCACAGACTAGTTTTTGAATTGTGTGCGGAAATGCACAAAATAATCAATTTTCTTCCATATTTTTTTCTGTTTCTGTCTGTTTTTAAGTATGTTTGACGGTTAGTATCAAAACAAGTTTTTCAATAATCGCTAGGACAACATGTCATCGTTCAAATGACACCAAATTTATCATTCTGTGACACTTACGTACTGTTATTACAATTTTCATACATGCACTACCGTAATCGTAACGTAAAAATAAAAATGGCTGCCATTTCAAGGGGGGTGAGGTAGGACATTGTAGGGGGGTAGATTTTAAAAATAGCTGAAAAATACCCCTCTTAAATATCGGTATGTCGTGACCAAACACATTGTATATATAATCAAAATCCCATTTACCCTAAAGGGTGTAGAGTCGTTTCCTTTTTCATATGGATACTATATTAGAATTTTTTTCATTTAATTGGACCTTTCAGTTCTAAATTCAGCAATGTATTTCCTTATTTAGCCATGAATTTGTTGTTGGAACTAAAATTATAAGTAAATAAAAAGGTATGGTGAAACCTGATTACAAAATGAAAATTTTATTGATGGTAATAACAATAATCATAGCAGATATTTTAAACGTCTGTTATTTTGTAGGCAAAGTTTGACTCTTCTCTGTGCTTTCTTCATTGCTCCTTTTATTCCCCGTTTTCTGTTCAATTTGAAATCCCATCTCAAATAAAGTCAGGCAAAGATAAAAATCATTTTCAGAGAAATCTGATATATAAACAAATTACTATCTAATAATTTCAAGGCGTACCTAGGAAATCCAGTTTGTTTTTAAATAATTAGGGTTTAGCAATGTCAGTGTATGACGGAACATTTTTGGAATTAGAATTAAAAACTCTATTGGCGACCATACGGAAAAATAAAGTTGATGCTGGAGGACAAGAAACGAAACGTCATATTGGAATTTTAATTATTCCATCTTGTAGAGGAGACAAAGTGGCAATGTTAATGTGCAATTTATTTTCAAATCCCATTACAAACAAAGTCAAGAAAAAACTAAAACGATTTTGGAAAAATACGTTTATTTCGGTCTTCCTCCGGAACTACTTTGATTTTCAAAAGTTTCTAGGCGGCATTTTGTTAGTTATCTAAATACGCAAATTTGCCCCCAGCTAAGAGATGTCGTATCTCTTACCGTTTCCAAGTCCCAATGGTGAGGGTCGAACTTGAAATACCGGGTATACTATATATGTATACTTCTCATTCTACTTTGCCTATAGTTTAAATGGTATGTGACCATCACCAAATGTTTCCAGATGACGACGTTGAAACGCAACGGGCTCGGTTCGAATGGACACTTGGGGTATTCTCCGAATATGACGAGTAGTTCAAGTACAGAGTATCTGAATGGAGCAGGATTGGATAGTACGTTGGCCCAGAGTCCACCTGCACCTTCACCGGAAGCTCGTAGACACCTCATCAGACCCAAGTCTCTGGTCGAAAAAGCCAGAATGAACGTAGCGTGAGTATTTTCTTATAAAAAGCGACTTTTCTAATGAAAATTGATCAAACAATAAAAAAAAATGTTTAGCTAAGATTGATAATATGTGCACATATACAAAGTGACATATAAAAGCAACAACCAGAATTATTTATTGAATTTTGATAAAAACTTGAAAACATATTTGCTATCGTGGGAGTATACTCTGATAAAATGTTTAACGTCCAATATTCAATCGATCGGCATATCCATCGCTCCTTTCAGAGAATCGTAATCATTAAAGTAAATTAGCGGTAAAAAAATTGCTTGATGGAGGTCCAGTAATTCTATGCAAAAATTAGATTATTACAGAGTTGAAGCACGATTAACTAAATGAACTTTTAAATTGTTGCAGGTGGTTGGATTCCTCTTTATCCATAATGGAACAAGGCATCCGGGAGCACGACACACTCTGCCTCAGGTTCAAGTTCTACGTGTTCTATGATCTGAACCCGAAATATGACGCTATTCGGATCAACCAGATTTATGAACAGTCTAAATGGCAGCTGCTCAACGAGGAAATCGATTGCACTGAAGAAGAAATGCTGATGTTTGCCGCCCTACAGGTATGTTGTATTTGATGTAATTGTAAGGTATGGTACCTTTCAAATAGGGCTAAAACTATCAAGTTATCAGAATCACGAAATCGTTTAATTAAAGGAAATACCATGACATTACGTATTTTATAACTTATTTGTGAGAATAACGAACATATATACAAAACCTAGTAAGAGTTTTGAAAATTGTGTCTTTCGACACATACAATACAGATTACGATTACGCATTCTAATGCGTTTATTGTAACATCTGAAACTTATCATGTGGTTTTCATATCGATAATACCCCATGTTTATCTAGCCAATCAAAGCACGTATATAAAATTCTTTTTTACGAGGGCGGTTCAATAAGTACCCGTGTTAGAAATGAAGACTCCATTTTTTCCAAAATATTTCTTTTTGTTTTTCAACATAATCCCCGTTTGAATGAATCTAAAAAAAAAAAAATTTTAGAGGCATCCCGGCCACCATAAGGAGCCAGTGCATAGGCCGCTTAAGCGGGCCCTTATGCACCTCTACACAAATCACAAGCCTCGCCCTTTTAGCGAAGTTGAGAATCGCCTTGAGTCCAAGCTCCTTTACGTCCTCACAGCGACACAAAACGTGCGCCGAGGTCTCTTCCTCTACTCCGCAGCGTTCGCACAAGGGATCCTCAGCCACCCCCATCACGTGCAGGTGGCGCCTTAACGTGTTATGGCCAGACAACAGTCCCACCAGCAACCTTAGGTTGGCTCTACCCAGAGATAGGCAGAAGCGTCCATCCTTAGCACTGGGCCCTTCAATGAGCTCTCGTGCCTGGCGGAGATGTCTAGAGATACTTCTCCATTTCTGAGAGTGTTGTCTTGCAACCCACGTCTCCATTTTCCTCCTAGCTTTATGCGCGGTTACTCCTAGAGCTGGCTCAGGACCAACGAGCTTGCTGGCTGATCCTGTTTTCGCCAGAGTGTCCGCCGTCTCATTGCCCCTTATCCCAGCGTGCCCCGGTACCCATATTAACGATACCGGATGCCTCGCTGCGAGGCAATCCAGAGCCTCCCTGCATTGCAATACAAGACTCGAAGTAATCTTACAGGCACTTAGTGCTTTCATTACAGCCTGGCTGTCGGATAAGATTGTTATTCTTCTCCTAGGCCCACCCTCCTCCAGAATGTGAGATACACAAGCCAGAATCGCAAAGATTTCCGCCTGGAAAATGGTGGTGTATTCACCTAAAGGCAGAGATAGCCTAGTTCTAGGCCCAGAGACCCCAGCACCTGAGCCCTCTTCGGTGACCGAGCCGTCCGTGTAGAATGACCTGCCCGCTCACTTCGGAGAGTCCTCGGCTACTGGCGTCCCACTCCTCCCTCGTTGGATTCTCCACAATAAACTTGCGGTTGAAGCGATATTTAGGGGTAATACGATCACCCCTGCTTAGAAGGACGGGGTCCTCCCTTTCTAATTCGACTAAGATGGCAGTATGCCCCTTGACCGGATTCAAGAAAGCCCAGCTGCCCTGACTCCACAGTCGATGAGCGACTACTCTCGCTTCACCGCGGATCACCAGATCCAACGGTGGGAGATCCAACAGAGCTTCCATTGCACTCAATGGCGTTGTTCGCACTGCGCTTGTAATGCTAATACAGGCCAAACGCTGAATTTTATTGAGTTTGGCCTTAGTTGACTCAGTTCTAATGCAAGGCCACCAGACCAGGGAGCCGTACAAGAGAGATGGACGTACTATCGTCGTGTAGAGCCAGTATACCACTTTGGGTTTAAGCCCCCACCTTACACCGACAACACGTCTACAAGCCCACATCGAATTGCGAGCCTTGCTAACCTTGTGTTCCACATGCTCTCTCCAGTTCAGTTTGCAGTCCAGGATAATTCCCAGATATTTCACTGACTGGGACAAAACTAATCTAGTCCCAAAGAAGGTCGGCATGACCAGTCCGTCAAGCCTTCTTCTCCTAGTGAATAGGATCAGCTCGGTCTTTTCAGCATTAACAGAAAGATCGACTTCCCTACACCACGATTCCACGGAGCGCAGAGGCGCCCTGCATAATTTCCGAGACTGTTCTACAGAAACGCCCCCTAACCACTATGCTTACGTCATCAGCATAGGCTTGCGCATAGACACCCGTACTGCTGAGCCTAACGAGGAGTTCGTTTACCACGATACACCACAGTAGGGGTGACAGAACTCCGCCCTGAGGGCAGCCTCTAGCTACGTTCACGCTGCAGCTTACGTTATTCAGCATAGCTGTTGTTACCCGACCCTCCAGAGTAGAGAGGACCCAATCTATTAGGATTGATCCAACCCCGTGTCTAACCAAGGCCTGTCTGATAGAGTCGGTTGTGGTGCAATTAAATGCACCTTCAATGTCCAAGAAGGCCACGAGTGCCACTTCTCGCTGATCTAGAGTCTTCTCCAGCCTCTCGACCAGATTGTGTAAGGCCAGATCAGTTGATTTTCCAGCTTGGTATGCAAACTGATTTGCATGAATGACACACCTTTCCAGCGGGCCATCCCTTAGGTATCTATCAACTATCCTTTCCAGGGTCTTAAGCACAAAAGATGAAAGAGTAATCGGTCGAAAATCCTTCGGGCCAGTATATCTATCTCTGCCCGGTTTAGGAATGAATACCACTTTAGCCTGCCGCCAGCTTCTAGGTGTGAAGCCCGTGGCCACACATGCTCGAAACACATTCAACAGGTAAGGAACAACCGAAACCCGTCCCTGCTGTAACATGGCCGGAAATACGCCGTCCAGACCTGGACTTTTGTATGGGGCAAACGAATCTACTGCCCATACCGTCCTTTCGAAGGTGACAATCTCCCTAGCCGTGCGCCAGTCCTCCCTTGAGGGCCTGCGCAACTGCATGCACTCTGTGATTGATCGCGCTACTGTGGAACCGGGAAAGTGCGTATCCATCAGAAGCCTCAGAGTATCTTCCTCAGAAGTAGTATTCCCCCCCCCGAGGGATCATGCAGAGATCCCAATCTTGCTTTAATGTCTTTGCATAGGACTCTGTGTATTCTTGCAGTAGCAGGAATGTCATTTATGGACTGACAGAAGTGCCTCCAGGATTCTCTGGAGGCCCTTCTAATCTCCTTTTTGTACTCCTGCAATGCCTTTTTGTATTCTTCCCATAGAGGAGAACCTCTCCTGTGCTTAACTCTGCTAAGAAGTTTGTGCACCGCTCGTTTTCTATCCTCTAAATCTTTGGTCCAGAAGGTTGCCTTGCCCTTACGTTGGACTTTGCGTAACGGGCAGTTTTCCTCATATGCAGCCGTCAAGTCCCTGCTCAGAGACTCGACAGCTGCTTCTATGTCAGAGCCCCTGCCAAGCCTGTATGGGACCGCTCCAAGCTTACTGTCAATGTCTGCCCTAAAGGATCCCCATCTAGTATGCCTGGGATTCCGAGCATATTTATCCGGAATCTCTCCATCAGTCTTGAACAGTATATACCTGTGATCTGATAGAGAGGGTGTTAGAGACACTTTCCAGTCCCTGATGTAGTGAGCTAAGTTAAGCGTGCTCAGTGTTACGTCGATAACCTCTTCTCTTACACTATTGCTGAAAGTGGGCATGTTACCGACATTCAGAAGCTCAAGGTTCGTTGCCCCTAGAAACTCGATCAGGTCTTCGCCCCGTCTGTTGGTGTTCGAGCTGCCCCACGTAACGTGATGGGCATTACTGTCGCATCCAATCACGAGGTCGAGTCCAGAATCCCTACAGAATGCGACAAGATCCCCCATTTCCTTAGACGGAGGAGGGTCTCTTGAATCGTAAGGAAGGTAAGCCGAACATACAACCAAGTCCCTGTCACTGCATTCCTTCTTATATCTACTTCTGACTGCAACTAAGTCTCTGAATGTAAATTCTTTAAGTTGCCATGAGTTGACGGAAGTCATTACGCAAGCTCTGGGCTTAGTGTCCGGAGTATCGCTAAAGAGCGTATAGCCCGGTATACTAAGTCCGTTTACTGAACCGTTTCTCAGCCAGGGTTCCTGGATGAGAGCCACGTCATGTCGGCCTCGAGTGATCTCCTGAGTAAGGGCCCTCGAAGCCGCTATGCAGTGTTGTAAGTTAATTTGGATGAAATTAAGACTTACCATGGGTGTTGAGAGGCCCTTCCTACACCTTCCCGAATGACGGTATGTAACCCCTATTCGGGCGTACCGCCGTCGCCGCTGCAGTCTTCGCTGTCACAGCCGCCTTCATCTCCGCTTCCACGGAGGAGTTCTCGGACTCGGTTCAGGATTCCATCCTCGTTCGAGTCGCTACCATTTCCCTCTGGGACCAGATCCATCGCAGGGTCCGCCACGATGTTTTCTGCGGATATCCCGCTTGGACCCGCCGCCTCCACGTCCGTAACCTCCGGTGGTTCCAGCGAGAGCTGACCCGGCCGACCCATCCGCTGTGAAGGAGCCTGGTCTACCGCCACAGCTCCCGTCGGTCTGGGCCGGTCCGACTCCTGGTTTGGAGCCAGGCCAGTTCCAGCAGGTGTCGCCCCACTGCTCTTCTTCTTGCTCAGGAGAGTAAACACCCCCGAATTTCCACCGCAACGCAGCCTGTTACCGTTACCTACAATGACCTTCCAGCTTATGGAATCAACTGAGAGGACAAGTCGAACACCTTTCTGCTCTTCCTTCCTCTCAAGTAGCCTCCACGCGCTGGGAAAAGTCCCAGGATTGTGCCTCCTGAGTCTCCTCGTGATGACCTCGTTGTCCAGGTTGGGACCTGGAAACCAGGCCATCACGCGGTGGTATATGGGAAGGTCTCCAAAGCTCATCGTAATGAGCCTTGCGCCTTCCCACGGCCGCAGATCCCCCACGTGGGCCTCCAACCATGCCCTAGAGGATTCGTCCTCGCAGACAAAGATGGCTGCCCCTCGAGAGAGGTAGCAGTCAATGTACCTGGGAAGGGCCACCTCATCTGGGATCCCATCTATCAGCACACTGACCGCCTCCTGGACCTGCTGCACCTGTACGTTAGTAAGTTGAGTCCCAGGATAACCGTCGGACA